TTTGAATCTTTTTGGGCTGAAGAGCTAAGCTAGTAACTTTCATTCTGGACTACATTCTTAGACTGGCCCAGCACAGTCAGCTTCTCTAATCCTTTCCTCATTCACTGTTATTGAGGAAAAAGGCAACAGTGGCAGTCTGAGGACAAAACTAAGACTTCCTGCTAAGCTGTACTCCAGTGCTCAGCAGTGAGTGCTGGGGAGCAGCTAACATGGTCCTTTCCCTGCTTTGCTCAGATCCATTCTCTGCTGCCTGAAAGGACACTTCAAACACTTCTGATACAGAAACAAATCTGCAAGAGCAAGCCTCTTCAAAATGCTTACTGAAAATATTAATTGTGCAGCTGTAAGTCAACCTGCTTCCCCCACCCTCCCCCAAATCTGCACTGCTTACTTTGGAGGCAGAAAAACAAAAAAGTGGATGATGGAAAAAACAGGGCATTCTAACTGCAGCTACTCTGCTCTGCCGATGAAATGCAATTTTAAGTTGCTATATTACTACACTTGTGGATAGGAAAGAAATTACAAACCAAGCTCTTCACAGCAGCCTTCAATGATAAACCTTCTGATACAGCATAGACGAGAGGAGTCTTGTTAGCAATGACCAGGGAGTGCTGCTTCTACTCCCTTCATTTGTTCTCAATGACTAGAAAGAATTTCAAATGGCAGGGTCTGGTGCTCCAGCATGTCCAACCCCATCAGTAGTTCTCTGTGACGGAGGCCAGCTGCTTGGAAGTGTAAATCTCTGAACTCCATTTTAGAGACAGATATTAATTCTTTCAGATTTCCTTGAGTCAGTGTTGTGTATCACCATACAGGGACAGTCAAGGCAACGGTGATGACAAGAAGGTAAATGAAAAGACGACCCACTTGAAGAGAAAAGGGAGATCATCCTGCGAACAGCCACTCAGTTACACATCCAATACATACATCAGTGTATGTAGAGCTCCATATTGGCTTCCTAAGCCTTCAATAAATATACAAAAACATCACGGAAGGTATTTAACTAATCTTGTCAGTGTCAAGGACAAAAGTTTCCTGAACGCATGGCTTCATACGCATGGACACGTCTGACCGGTAACAGACTGATGAAGTCTCCAACTGCATGAGAAAACAAACACTGAAGGAACAAAGGGATCTAAATGCTTTAATTCACTTCAAAGATAGCATATAACGTCTCATCAACACCGGCAGGAAGGCCACATGAAAATCCAAGAGAACTGATTATACTGTGGAAATGAGAAATCACTTTATACATAGAGAGTTGCAGGTAAAGGCGCCTTAATAGTTTATTTTTATGAGACACCATCAACAGCGTATCAGACAGAAGCACCTTAGTTCATCCACCTAAATGAAGTCATTGTTACTCAGAAGATCAATGTGACTGATCCATAGAAAAGGAACTTTCTCACAATGCCTTCAAGCGTTCACCTTCGTTTGTCAAACAAGGGCTGCAGAATGGTTACCAAGTGATCTGATATTTATTCAGTGGGCAAAAGGCGTCTGTCATTTCTTCACTGAAATACGAGTGGATTCATAATTGAAAAATTATGATATGTCAATACAGCCAAACAATGAAATGTCACTGCTGCAGTTGGAAATCAGTGAATATGAAATGGAACAAGTGCTCCACGATGGAGTAACAGAGCCTACCTTTTGATCACAACATTTCTTCTCCCTTGACCAACTTAGGATGTAGTGGTTTAGTAAATTACTTATGCTCTGAAAGAACATGACTTCAGAGCCTTTAAAAATCACACACTTTAAGGCAAGGGAAATGAGTCCGCAAGCTAGAACTCGAACCTGATGTGTCAATAAACCCAGGAAATAAAGTGGAATTTAAAAGCCTGCTCTACTGAACCAAAGCAGGTTTAGAGCTTAGTCAAAACTTGAGATAGTAAAGTTGCATTTCTCTGTCTTCCTAAAAAACTTACTTGAACCATCACAATGCAAAAGTTTCCAGACAATTCCTGTCTTGTTGAGGAAAAAGAAATTTATGCCTGAAGCAGGACTGGGCAAAGATAATCTAACACATTTGTACCCTGTAACCCTTAGTACATTATTAGTATTGTTTCTGCTAAGCAATGTACAAATGGTTGCTCTGTCCTAGTATGGTAGAATTTTCTGTGCAGATCTCACACTTTTGCATTTATGACCTGGAATTCCCAGCCTTCATGTCCAAGCAATAATGATGATTATTTATACCCAAACCAAAAAACAAATATTTCTTTATTTTGCCAATGGTTCAGTTAAAGCACATTTTGATATTACAGTTCTGAAAAAGCACAGTCAGGGAAATATTATAATGTCTGAGCAAAGACGGGCCAAATGTTTTTAAAATGCACCTGAATATACCAAAGCAGGTTTAGTAATTTTTAACTATTCAGATTTCCAATTCAGAGCTCAATAAATCTCCTCAGCTTTCCCATCTCAGCATTACCTTGATAATGTAAATTCTCCATCACACCCAAGAGATACTGCAGACCAGTGCTTTGCGACGACACCGAACTCAGCAAGGTCTGAGATGTAACTTCTCTCCTTCGGCAAAAGAACTCAAAGCCTCCTCCTCAAAACACTCTTCAAAGCTATTTTTTCAGTATGGAAAATGGAATAAACAAAAGTTTGAGAATTTCCTGCATGAACACTGGGGCAGGTGGTACAACCCCAACCTCATACATTCAGTTCTGACTAGGCTAAAGCTCTACGTTTTCTTTCCATCTCCTCTGAGGTACAGCTTTGGATTTACTCCGTACTGCAGGACAGGTCCAACTCACACAACCCGTCTGGCTTTCTCACAGTTGGCAATCTTCTCTTTAATTCAGGAGCACTTAAATAAGTGACAGTGCTAGTCCTGAAGATGATACCAGTTGTACCACCACTACCTATTAGCATACAACCTTAAAGCTTCACATTATGCACAGAAAAGTCTTCCCAAGCTAAGCATTTATTTTTGAGTGCTCCTTCACGAAAGATCAGTAACAAGCATACTTCTTACCATTATATTTGCCTTGGCTTTTACTATGGCTTCTGATGATAAAAAAAAAACAAACACTGCTAACCACTGCTTAAGATTTCACAAATCTCTTTATCCACCTGCAAGAATGGATGAAAACGACATTCATTTTACAAATATTACAATCTTACAATTTGTTTCTTTCTATTTTTCCCTTTGATGTTTCTTTAAAATATTTTCTACTAACTCTAGATTAAAAATTCTCTTTTCTTCTATCTCAGGCTTTTAATTAGCTTTGCCTAATTTTGAGGAGTCTAACATTTATGGATTAGTCCAAAATACTAGATGCAGTTAAACATTTGGCCACAGATGTCAGAGTTAACTCTGCTTTAATTTGTTTCTCCACTTTCACCTTCCCCTACTAGCTAAAGTTCTCTCTAACCTGCTGTTTTGTTTTTCTCTATTATTTTCAATCAATATATATTTTTTTCCCTTTCCCAGCATTCTTCCTGCCTTCCTTGTAGCTTTCTAACTCCCAAATTTCGCCATGGTCATACCCATTACTCTTCCTTCCTCTCATGCCCAATACTCATTTTCTTCCTTCTTTGTCTGTGGTTTCTTGTCTCCTGTTTTCACACAGATGTTCCTGCTGGTTTGTCCAATGATTCTCACACTCCTTTCAGATCCTGCCTTCACTTCCTTCTCTAGGATTCATGGCTGACCACCTAACCTCACATAGACAACGTCCTGCATCCACACAGAGACATCCTTAAGCTACCTCAGATATTATTCATAGGATAACAGAACCACAGAACAGCTTTGGTTGGAAAGGACATTGAAGACCACCAAGATCCAAACACCTGCTACAGGGAAGTGCCACCCACTTTCAGAATTTAAGTCCTGGCTCACAGGGAACATAGGCAAAGCGCTCGCAAGCAGCATCCCAGCACACAACAGATTGCCCCACAGGACCAACAGAGAAGCCAAGACTTAGACATCAAGAGCAGGACATTCCGACCTGTGCTAGTAGTGAGTTAATGCCAGCAGGGCAGTGAGTTCTGAGGAAGGTGCAGGGGGGACGTCCCCACCTGCACATTGGTAACAGCTGGCGCCACATGAGATGAGCAGAGCAAGTCATGCTGAATGCAAGACTAAGGACGAGCTGTCTGTGAGTGGGAGTGTTATATCTCTAGAAGGTCAGGCATTTTGGCAGCCAACAAATGTACAGGTCACTGTGCAATGGCGACTCATTTCTTGTTTCCAATAGAGTAACACCACTGCCTGACAAGAATGGTACAGTTTCATAGGGTATTTGCATTAAGAACCATGTTAAACCTCTTTTTGTCTCTTTGGTGCCTTTCACTCACACACAGGCTGTTACTGTCTTTACCTTGTAAGTCTTTTCTAATATCTCACAGCTTAGGCAAGCAGTCCAAACTCCTCCTGTGTTTTAAAGAGGCAGCACAATCTCCAACAAAGCAACACAAAGTGCTCCAAACAGCTCTCCAAGAGCAAAGGAGAATTCCTCAAGAAGAAAGAGAGACATACTAATACTGAAGACTTTCTCTTCTTTCACCTTTTGTGAGCCTGAAGAGTCACACTGTGCCCATTACCAAGGTGAGACAGTGGAGCTGTCTGTCAATGGCTGGCAACAAACAAGAACTAAGATGATTTTTACTTCTCATCCTATTTGTGAACTTCCGTTCATCTGAAACTAATGGGTAAAAAATATGACTAACATTTAAGTCAACGTACTTTATTTCCTCCTGTTACCTGTAAAATCAGCGGTGGACAACGTTAGGAAGGATGAACAAACTGCTGAGAAATACTGCTGTAAGACTATTTCAGTGTTCTTCACTATATATTCCAAGCTTTCTCTCCCCACTTACACTTCACTTACTCACTCATTGTCATACATGCAGTGCTAAGAAGCTGTATTTATTCTCAGCATCAGAAGTAAACTCTCAAATCAGGGACACTAATTATTTAGCAATTTTCATTTAAAATTTAAAATAGCAGAGATAATAAAATTAAAGCAGGACAAGCATAATCCATTCGTAAATTTAGAATTTATTTTGACAAATTTGCAGCAAGCATTACTTATCGTGAGAATAACAATTCAAAAGGACAGAGGTTTCATCAGCTGTGCATTTTCTTACTATATTTTCTTACTAACATTATTACCAAAGTCTTATATTGTTTTTATGTGTAAAAAATAGATTTTATTCATTATCAAGTATCACACCTAAGAGAGAAAAAGAATAACTAACCAAATAACGAACAACAGCAAAAATCTGAGATAGGGTAGCATTCTCTTCTTTTCTCTGTAAATAAATCCACTTCTAATAATTGCTCAGAAAATAAGAGAATGTCCATTACAATCTTCAGGCTCTTAACAATGATTTATCTTGGCTAATGTTACTGCTTTAAGAGGAGATAAGCCATATAATTTTACAGGAAGCAACCCACTGAATCCTTCAGTAAACACAGCTTGGCAATCTATCTTCAATTCAAAATAATGAGGTGGCATGAGTGTGGCTGAGAAATAAGTCTTCAAAAACATCATGTAAGGGAATCCAGCTGTGCTTGTATGGTTTCCAGCTATTTAAAGGAACAAAAAGGAAAAAAAAAAGAACCTCTATTCATAAGATATTATTTAGAAACATGCAAACAGAAAAAAAAAATACTTTCCAATGTCTTCAACTACGCATACTAAATCTAATCATAATGCAACAAAAAAACTTGTACTCATGAATGGTTGTTTTTACACAAAGCTATTAGAATGCATTGCCGCAGCTTAAATATTCAAATTTTAAAGAAACAGTTGTCTAAATACTGCCTTTTTTACATGGACAGATGTTTTGCTGCAAATTTCAAATGCATAATAATAAGGTAAAAAAATAATAAGGGTTTATTTTGACTAGATTACGAGCCTGGCATTTCAACATAAGATAGAGATGCTCCTTCCAGAGAACTCTCTGTTATTAATCATCAGCTGCTCCTCTAGACCTAGCCACCAGGTACGATTACAATGACTCCAATGCCTGCCTACTCCAAATTTGAATGCAGTCTTCTTGAAAATGCTTTCTGTGATCAAACAAATCCAGCGGCTTTAATTAAAATTGGATCCACTTTCCCTCCAGTTTCATTAGATTTAATTCATTTAGGCAGTACTTCCTGCTGAGCAGCATAAGGTGTTTACAAAGGAACTATGGTATCGTAAAATCTACAGACCTTGTTATAGAACTCGAACAGCTCCTGATGACTAAACTCCACAAACAATTTCTTCAGGTTCTGTGAAGGAAAAAGAAAACAAAGGAAAGAATAAGCATTTTTTTTTTCTTTTGAAATTCATTAAGCCCCAGTGTGGGTTTAAGCTGTATGAGATAATGTTTGCAACAGTTAATTTTCCTTCCACTCACTACAGCATCCCTTAAAGATGCATATTCCGTTTTAGTGATGAATTTGAGTCCATGGATACATCTGTTCTCCTGCTGCAAAGAATAATAATAAAATTTCTGTTTAAAATGATTTTGTTACCTAATTTGTAAGTCACAGATAAAAACGAAGGATTACATTCATCTTGCTCAGCAGTCCATCTAAGATCTGGTAAACAACATCATGAAAAATCTGTGATGTATTTGATTGAACTTGCACAGCTACTAACATACTGTGCATTAGGCACAGAGTTAATAATAACTTACATTCATTAATCTAACAGTTACAATTTCAGTATGCTGACATTGCTACACACAGATTCAGCCAAAGTTAACAGCACAATAGCTTCAAAGCAGGCCTGAAACACTACAAAAAGCAAAATATCACAGCTGATGGAAACGACTGTGAATAAAACAGATGGCGGTAATAATAAGCATGCGTGTGCTGATGTCTGCAGAAGTGGGGGTTAAATTAAAGCCTCTATCCTGCTTAACTTGCTTGCGTGAAATAGGTAGTTTAATGCCTGCTACTTTCAATCATAGTACCAATCCATCCAGGCTGTTTCTAGCCTAATTCCTGCTAGTTTGCTTTGTCACTTCCCTTCTTTTAAAATAAATGTGTAAGCACTACTGCACACTGTCTGTGTTGCTGCTAGACTTTCCAGTGCTTGGAGGCATTTCTAAGGATCACAGTTGCGCTTCTATTAATACTAACAAGGACTTGTGAAAAACTGAATTTGTGGACCTGTCTAGTCTCAATGCATCATTAGTTGGAAAAATGTACGCCCGCTAATTTAGTTGAACTTGTATCAACCTAATGTACCACTTAAATGATTAAAAAAATGCTTATTCAACAACCCTGCTTAAATTAGCGAAGACACTTTCACATACGGGCAAGGCTGTGGGCCAGATTCTGTGCACTCTAACACTGATGCAAGTCTCAAGTCAAATAAAGCTGATGAATTTGGCTCCTCGAGCTCACAAAAGCAGCAGAAGTCCTGGGAACGCAGGATAGGTACTGTCTGGTGCCCATTCCAAAAACAAACTATAGGACACAGGAAAGGGATAAAATGACTGGGGCCAGCCTGTCTGGTGCAATCCCTTCTCCTCGCTCTGCAGAAAGAAGGATCCTTTCCAATAATTTCAGGAAGGCTACAAAAGCCTAGAAAAGGACCAGTGATTTGCATGAGAGACCAGTCTTCACCCTCTGGGAAAGAACAATGCAATTCTGGGAATTGTATGGTGAATACAAAATAAAACTACTAGAACAGCAGTTCCCTTTGCCATGATTCCAGCTGATTCTCCCTCCAAGCAGCATAATGCAGTGACAGGGAAGTAAAAGCATTTTTAAACTCATTCTACCAGCTAAGAAACAAAGGGAAAGCAAACAAGTGGTTTCTTCAGAAGGGAAAGGGGGGAGAGGAAAGAAGAGAAAGCACATGAATAGCAAATAGATTCGTCTGAGTTTTAGGCATTTGAAACTCCTGAAAGATTTTGGTATTTGAACGGACATAAAACTGAAAAGAGAAGGTTCCTGATAAAAGAAATGTATTAAAGTTTATCAGTTCTAATCCATAAAGCCACAGTTTCTCCTCCATGGTTTCTGGCAGATTGCTGCTAGAATTTCAGCAGTGAGATTTCAGTACAATGACTCCTGCACAGGCAGGATGTGTGTGTGACACTTCACCCAAGCACAGCATGACCCACCAGATCTTGTTTCCCCGAGCTCCATGTATCCACCAAGACTGACATCTTCTGGTTCTACCTTACATCAGCAAGCAAGATCAACTTCTCATGCATAATAAAATACACTGAAAAGCTTGTCTTTCGTATTTTTTTCTAAGCACACTGAACTGGTATTAGCTACCCGTTAGAGCAGGCAAACAAAAGAAGTGTATCTTTAATTCAGGTTACTTTGAAACTGCAAAAACAATCAATAGGCATAGGAGCAGACTATGATCTCTCTCCTTATTATTTAACAGTCGCGGTCTGATGAATAAAACAAAACTCACATTTGGCTGTGCCAGGCGAACGTCTGAGGAGATCTAAATGAAAACATGCAGTCCGTAATTTTTTGCTAGTCTGTTTCAGAGTTTGGAGTGGGTCAATGCGAGAGAGGGTATGGCAATATTGTATGGCACATATTATGCATATGCACCCACTTCTCCGCTCAAATAGGACTGTTTCTGTACGTAAAAATTTCAACAAAGACCAGTGTCACAAAGCACAGAGCTGAAGTGTGGCAACAGCTGCAAATGCTCTATTCATAATATGTATTTCTTGCTAGCATTAATCCCTTGAAGAAGTGTCAAAAGATCACTGTTACTTCACTACATCACTGTTACTTCACTACAGCCTCCACGCAGACTATAAAACCAGCATGCACAGATAGGTCCTTACAAGAAAAACCTACGTCTGAGCAGGTTGGTGGTCCCATATTTTTGCCCAGATGCCCACTTATCATTTATTTTATTTTATTTTACAATAAATCTCGTATCACTATAATCACTTATTTCCTTTACCTCTCTGGGAGCATAAACAACTATAATTAAAACACAGAGTGGCTTAGGTTGGAGGAGATCTTAAACATCATCTTGTTGATGCCATCATGGGCAGGGTTAACAACCAGTAGATCAGACTGGATCCCATCCATCCTGTCCTTGAATGCCTCCAGAGATGGGACATCCACAGTCTCTCTGAGTAAAAATTTCTTCCTAACATCTGACTTAAATTTCCTATCTCTTAGAGTAAAGCCATTCCTCTCTGTCCTATCACTAGCAGATCGTGTAGAAAGAGAGTCCCCCTCTGTTTATACGCTCTCTTCAAGTAAGGGAAGGCTGCAATGAGGTCTCTCTGGAGCCTCTTCTTCTCCAAGCTGAACAACCTCAACTCCCTCAACCTTTCTTCAGAGGAGAGGAACTCCAGCCCTCTGATCATCCCTATGTCCCTCCTCTGGACCTGCTACAGCAGCTCTGCATCCTTTCTGTGCTGGAGGGCCCATGCCCAGATGGAGTACTCCAGCTGGGGCCTCACGAAGGCAGAGTAAAGAAGGGCATTCCCCTCCCTTTCCCTGCTGGCCACCCCCCTTTTTGATACAGCCCAGAACACATTTGGCCCTCTGGGCTGCAAGAGCACACTGCTGGCTCACATCCAGCTTTTCGTCCATCGAGACCCAGAAGTCCTTATCTCCTGCTCTCAAGGAGTTCTTCTCCCCGTCTGTACATTACACACCTGTGATTGCCATGACCCAAACACAACATCTTGGCCTCGTTGAACCTCTTTAGATTCTCATGGCCCACACTCTGGGCCTGTCCAGGTTCCTCTAGATGGCATCCCTTCCTTCTGTTGTGTCAAAAGCATCACTCAGCAAGGTGTCATCAGTAGAGTTGTGAAGGATACACTCAGTTCCGCTGTCGATGTCACTGATAAAAACGTAGAAGAGCACTGTTCCCACGACAGACCCCTGGCAGGCACCACTTGTGACTGGCTTCTACTTGAACATATATTCACTGACAACAACTCTGGCAATTTAGACACAAGGGTGTGGAGCAGGACCTTGCATAAGTCCAAGTATACAGCATCAGTGGCCCTTCCTTTGACCAATGCCACCGCTCCATCACAGCACACCACCAGATTGGTCAGACATGATCTGCCCTTGGTGAAGCTGTGCTGGCTGTCTCAGATCACCTCCTCATCTTGCATTTGCCTTCCAGGAGGACACACTCCGGGATCTTTCCAGGCTTAGACACGAGGCTCACCAGCCTGTAGATCCCCAGGTCTTCCTTTCTCCCTTTTTTGAAAATGGGAGTAATGTTTCCCTTTCTCCAGCCACAACTTTTCAAATATTACGGAGAGTGCCTTGGCAACCACATCAGCCAGCTCCTTCGGGACCCTGAGATGCATGCCATCCAGCCCAATAGAGTTGTATACATTCAGCCCTATGAGGTGGTCTCAGATTTGTTCTTCATGTTCATACTCATGAAGAATTCTGCTTCACCATTTGGAAGTTCAGGGACATGACAAGTGTGGGAAGACTGACTGACTGACGATCAAGGCAAAGAATTCATTACGTACCTCAGCCTTTTCCACATCTGAGCAGGCCAGCTCTCCCTTTTAACTTACTGATGTGGGGGTTACCCTCTCCTCTGCCTGGCTCTTTGCCTTCTGTATCTAAAGAAGTTCTTCTTGTTGTTTTCCACATTCCTTACTAAGCTTAATTCCGCCTGCGCCTGTGCTTGAGGACTAGGTTACAATGCAGTTCTGTACTTCTTCAGAAATATGTGCTTAGAATGATTACATATCTAGGTTATTACTAAGGAACTTAGCATAGGTAAATTCCTAATCTACCTCAAGAAATTTTGCTCAGATAAAGATATAAAAACTACCAAATGCTATTTTTTTTCATCCGTAACTAAAATGCAAGATGAAAACATCACTTTCAGTGTACTGACTTAATTAAATGTCTGTGTGCAGATGAGTCTCAGCCTATTTATGAAAAGTGTAGCTAAAGTGTAAAAAGCTAAAAGTTTAGCTAAGTGTAGCTAAACTGCCTTCTTCTATCTAAATATGCAGGTTTTCAGATTCTGCGTATGACCTGTTATGTGTTTCTCAGAATATACATAAGAAAACTGTAATTTCCTGGATGTCTAACTTATTTTTCTATCACGTGTATCATTCACTTTTATTTTTTCCTGATGAATTTCTGTATTCCCCCACACCTCTACTCATCAGTTTCACTCTATTTTTCCGCTCATTTCTGCCATCTCATTTTATTTTTGCTATTATCTAACTGTGAAAGAAGCAGACTTTATTCCTACTGTCACTCTCAGTGACTGCAATACATTACATCCCAAACTT